GATCAGATGATGGAATGTATGTACAGAGGAGGCTCTGGGGATCAGAGGAAGGGTTACATGAGGAGATAGGACCCAGGTATGGCTGGAATGCACATGAAAGTGAGGAATCTGAATGTTGATAAAACATTTTCTCTTGTCTTCATTTCTTTGCCTTGACAATTAAGAGCTTTGCTCCTCCCCTGTCTCTCTCACTGAAGGGGGAGAGGATGGAGTGGGGGCGTTGCTGCTTCAGACAAAAGTTTTAAACTGCTTTTGCTTTTCTCTACGGAAGGAGGGGGGTCTCGGGGAGCTGCCTCAGATAAAACCTGTTTTATCTGAGGCAGTTTGTTCTTTTATTGTGCTCTGCAATAGGAAGGAGAGGGCTGCACATTAACAGCAAGACAGAAGTTAGCACCTTAAAACCACTAGCCAGGATGTTAGAAACAAGAATAGTTCGCTTATAAGAAAAACTCCAAAACCCACATAGCTGGCACATTTGCAAGATACCCATGACCAGGAATGAAAAACAGGTGGTGTGACATTGAGCTATTTAACATAACAAACGTAAGGGTTTGGAAGGTCTGGAATCCAAATAACCAGCCAATATTATCTGTTATGCATGCATTATTAGGGGAAGGGCAAAGGGTTGAATGCGACCATCCCTTGACTATAAAAACCGCTGTGAGATTCTAGTCTTGGCCATTGGTTAGCTTTTCAAATTGGGATCCTTATATCTTGGTACAAAATAAAAGTAGAATTCTGTATCACACCTTGTGTCCGGTGACTTATTGGCTTCAACACCAAGCAAGAGCCCAGGTTTGGGGACAACAGTTTGGTGGAGAATGCGGGCAGACACCACTGCCTGAGGGACAAATCAAAGGGAGGCCTCCAGGTCATGTAAGTTGGCAGTTGAGAGGAGAGTGAATTGTTCCTAAGAATTATATCCAGCCAGGCTGTGCGTTCATCTGGGGGCAGCCACCCTTAAGTCCTCATGAGCCCGTCTGAGCTGTGACTGGAGAACTTAAATAGCAAGGGCTCCTGGAGTGGACACGCATGCCATACTGGCTCAGAGACAGAGTGACTGAATGACCATAAGCTGCCTACTTTTGGACTTGGCCCTGAGATAAGTCAGTGTGGGACTCAAAAGTCAAAGCCCAGAAAAAATCAAGGTGTGGAAAATTTCATCATGGAGAAAGATATTGGAAACAAAAACCAGGCTTCCTCTGGTTACGTGGCTGGACTTGACCATCCACAGGATGAGGTGAGACTATTGTGGGGGATGCCTCCAGGGGTTGTTAGGTGTGAAGTCCAGGGTGGAAGGAATACAACACTCTTAGGAAAGGTATAGTCGCAAGGATGGGTAATATGCCTACAGGAGGCAAAGCAAAAAGGGGTAAAATCCCAGATAACAAATCTAAAACTGGAACAATAAAAAGGAGGGTCTCTGACATCAGTGCCCTCCACCTGGGTATCCTTGGCATGAAGTAGTTAGCACTGAAGGGATAGGAGGCCCAGGGAGACAAAAGGAGGAATTAGATACCTGTCAGGAAGAACAAATGGTCCCAGTAGGTGGGATCAGGAAGAAGGAAACCAAAAAGGTTCCCGAAGGGACAGATCAACTTGATCACACACCCAAGGGAACAGTTGAGCCAGAATTCAATTGCTCCTAAGGGAAATTATATTGCCAGGAGCTGAGGGGGAGCTACGTAAGGTGTGGGTGCATGCTCTATTCTCAATGGCTGATTTATATACTATATTTTTCAGAATATAAGATGCACCCTTTCCCCCCTAAAAGAGTGTGGAAATGTTGGTGGGTCTTATACACTGAATAGAGCCATTTTTGGCTTCCTGAAGCCCCGCCCCTGCATCCCATTTTTGCAAAAAAAAAAAAAAAAAGGCTGTTTTTTCCCCAAAATGAGGCTTTTTTGCCTTCCTTAAGTCCCCAGCAGTCCTCTGCAGGCTTCAGCAGGAGGCAAGGCAAAAATGCCTGTGTTTTTGTAAAAAAAAAAGGGGGGGGGCAAAAAAATGGGCTGGTTTTTGCAAAAAAAAGAAAAGAAAAAGGAGACTTTTTTGCCTTCCCTCAGCCCCCAGCAGCCCTCTGCAGGCTTCAGCAGGAGGCAAGGCAAAAATGCCTGTGTTTTTGTAAAAAAAAAAGGGGGGGGGCAAAAAAATGGGCTGGTTTTTGCAAAAAAAAGAAAAGAAAAAGGAGACTTTTTTGCCTTCCCTCAGCCCCCAGCAGCCCTCTGCAAGGTTCAGCAAGGCTGGGGCAAGGCAAAAATGCCTCCATTTTTGTGAAAAAAAGGGCAAAACATGGGCTGTTTTTTGCAAAAATTGAGGCTTTTTGCTTTCCCTCAGCCCCCAGCAGTCCTTTGCAGGCTTCAGCATGGCTGGGGCAAGGCGTGTTTTTGTCTTGCTCTAGCCCCGCTTAAGCCTGCATGGTGCTGCTGGGGGCTGAAGGAAGGCAAAAACTTTTTTTTCTTACTTATCTCTTCGAAATCTTGGTGCGTCTTATAATCCGAAAAAAATATGGTAATTGAAAAAATCAAATTCCTAATTATAGAGAGAGTCCAGATCAGATGCATGGCCTTTTTGTGTTCATTTTCCAAACTCACCAGCCTATTTGGACAGACATACGAAGTTTGATGGAAATTTTATTAACTCCAGAGGAAAGAAGGATGGTGAAGGGAAGCATGGACAAGGTTGTGCAGAAAGATTATGCAACAGATCCGCACTGAATATGCCCACTGGAGGAACCAGATTGGGAACCTCAGTCCATTCGGCTACAAAACTGTTGGATCTTGGTTTTTTTAGGACTCAAACAGGAGATCCCAAAGGTTAAGAACTTGGGGAAGGTCTACCAAATTCAACAGAAACAGGATGAAAATCCAGGAGGAATTTCTAGAACTCATTTATCAAACCTTTAGGCAATAGATCCTGAGGCTGAAGAAAATTAGAGAATGGTCAATATGATCTTCATTGGTCAGTCTGCAGACAACATTAGGGCCAAATTACAGAAGACAGAGCCTCCCCTCCCCCCAAGGAAAGGCAATCTCTGGACTTGTGGAATTAGCATACAAAGTGTATACTAATTGGGCTCCAATCTCAGAGAAGAAGGAACTTCAAAGGGCAAGAAGAAATGCCATTTTTCTCCTCCAGGCTCTTAGACAGGAAGAGTGGGAAGCCAGGGGAACAACTGCGGGAAGAATTGTAGGAGGAGGAGGTTTGCGGGGATCAGTATTTATAATCCCACGCCCAGTCAGAGGAAGAGCCCTCCAGTTGGCAAAAGGGAAGAGGGTTAATATCTAAACAGATATGCATTTGGAGTTTTACATGCTTTTGGGGCTATTTGGAAAGAAAGGGGTATGCTCACTGCCCATGGGAAGGGGGGGCAATCAAACATGGGCCCCAGATCATAGAATTACTGGAAGCTGTACACTTCCCTCACGAGGTTGCAGTTGTGCATGTCAGGGGTCATTCGAATGATGCCACCTTGGTGGCAAAGGGAAATTGGGCAGCAGACAAGGCAGAAAAAGAGTCCACTCAGCCTGCCCTTGCACAGGTCTGTCCCCTGATCCCCTATCAGTTGGAAACATCCTTGTCCAAACCATCCTACACTAAAGAGGAAGAAAAATGGGCTCAAGAACTGGTAGCCACTTGGTCCCAGGGCAGGTAGTAGAAGTTAGGACTTTTTGGTGGTGGTGCCTAAGGCTCCCCTAAGAGCTTTCAGAACCCAATTACACAAAGACACACACTGGGGGGCTAAAGCGCTCACTGATTTTACCACCCGATACATGCTGGCAAAAGGCACATATGTCGTCACTAACCAGGTCACTGCAACCTGTCCCCATTGTGCACAAAACAACCCAGAAAGCAGGGAAGCCTCCTTTGGGAGTCCTTTTACAGGGCTCATACCCAGGTGCTGTGTGGCAAATAGATTTCCCTGAATTTCCCCCAAAACTGGGATTTAGAGATCTCTTGGTTTTGCGTGTACTTTTTCTGATGGGTTGAGGCATTCCCATGCCACACAAACAAGGCTAAAGAAGTAGCCCATATCCACACTCTGTTAGGAAGCCCATCTGCACTAGCCCATTCCCATAGCTTTGCCACAGCTCAGAATTATTTATTTATTCATTTTATTTTATTTATCAATAAGTACAAGGAAATAAATAGGAAAAATACCTGAAAAAATGGCACAAATAAAAGGATAAAAATAAGCCAAACATAGCCATAAACATATAAAAAGAGTGCATTTAAATTGGACAGTAGGACAGGGAGGGTAGGCACGCTGGTGCGCTTATGCATGCCCCCTTTATGGACCTCTTAAGAAACATGTAAGGTCCATGGTAGACAGTTTAAGGTAAAAAGTACGGGGGTTAGAGGAACTAACAACAAGATCAGGTAGGGTCTTCCATACATTTACTACTCTATCGTTTTTCCTGAAATCAAGATTAGAACGGATTACATTTAGTGTGTATCTATTGATAGTCCTTGTGTTGTTGTGGTTGAAGTAAAAGTAGTCATTAACAGGTAGGACGTTATGGCAGATTAACTTGTGCACTAAGCTCAAGTCGGAATGTAGACGGTGTAGTTCAAGATTATCCAGGCCTAAAATTTCAAGCCTGGTGGTATAAGGAATTTTATTACGAGCAGAGGAGTTGAGTCCTCTTCTTATAAAATACCTCTGGAGTCTGGACCCTCTCTAATGTTTAATGTCCAAAACGCAGTGTGAGTTCCAGGCAGGTGAGCAGAATTGCCCCATGAAAATGTAGTGGCCTTGTTTAGCTGATGTTTCCTCTTATGTTTCTTCACCTGGATATGTGAGACGCAAATTCTTCTTCCAAACAGCTTCCAGTTTCTCCTTTGCTCCTTGTGGGGCTGAAATGGTTAAACTCATTAGGTTGAAACTAATTTCTCTGAATACTTGTTATTTTCTCTGGAAGAGAAACTGCCAGAAGCTATGGCAAAGAAAGATTTTATGACTTTTACCTTGTAATATTATTATTTCTCTCTTCTTTTCCTAGGAGGTGAGAGCCTCTGGGAAGGTTGCTATGAAAGGAGATCAAGGAGAAAAGGTGAGTGATATAAGGAAGACTTAATGGAACCTCCAATTGTCATATTAATTTTATTTATTTGTGTACTGCAGCTTCTGTGCTGTTCCATTCAAACAGGACTCTGAGCAAGCTACATTATTTGATCTAAGAAAATTAAAATAATAATCAATATAACAAAAGGAAACAAAAGAAATAACAGCCCCAATACCTGGGCAGCAACCATCAGCATACACCAATCAATACCAGGAGAATTCTCCTCATAACAAGTCTGCTTCCAAGTTCAATACTTCCTCAAAAACCAATAGGGTTGGCGTAGGGTTTTCAATCTAATTTTGGGGGAGGATCTACCCCAGTGGTGGGATTCAATTTTTTTTACTACCAGTTCTGTGGGTGTGGCTTGGTGGGCATGGCTTGGTGGGCATGGCAGGGGAAGGATATTGTAAAATCTCCATTCCCTCCCTACTCCAGTGGAAGGATACTGCAAAATCTCTATTGCCTCCCCATTATAGGGGAAGTATACTGCAAAAATCTCCATTCCCTCCCTACTCCATGGGAAGATTACTATAAAATTCCCATTCCCTCCTGATCAGCTGGGAGTCGGGAGGTAGAGAATAGATGGGGGTGGGGCCAGTCAGAGGTGGTATTTACTGGTTCTCCGAACTACTCAAAATTTCCGCTACCGTTTCTCCAGAACTGGTCAGAACCTGCTGAATGCCACCTCTCATCTGCCCTAGAAAAGGGGGTGGATGACTGAGGAGGCTTTTCACCACAGTTCCTGAAAGAGAATGGAAACAGATCATCCTTCTCAATCTTAGACAGAAGGGGGTTCTACTGTTATCCAGGTCCCCAAATCAAATAGTTGTGCCTTTGGAAAGAGAGTTGGTATTATCTGGTAGTTTAAAAAACATATCCAAGCAAGGATATGTCCTTCTTATTGAACAGAATAACAGAGTTGTAAGGGACCTTGGAGGTTTTCTAGTCCAACCCCCTGCTATAGCAGGAAACCTTACACATTGTAGACTAACCTCCAGAAGTTATGAATGCTCCAATGCTGGAAGTTTTAAAGAAGAGATTGGACAACTACTTGTCTGAAATGGTATAACGTTTCCTGCCTGAGCAGGGGGTTGGACTAGAAGACCTCCAAGGTCCCTTACAACTCTGTTATTCTGTTATTAAATGGTTGTCCAATCTCTTCTTAAAAATTTCCATTGATGGAGGACCCACAACTTCTGAAGGCAAGTCGTTCCACTGGTTAATTGTCCTCATTGTCAGGAAGTTTCTCCTTAGTTCTAGAT